GTTTCCCTGACCTTCTTTTAGAGCTGCACCAGACACAGTATGGATCCTGTGCAGACCAACAGTCCTGCACATTTGTGTATGTGCTACACTTTGACACAGGTACACACTTCATCTGGAACGAAACACAAACATTCAACAACACTTTTTAGGTATGATTTGTCTTGTAAATCTTAAAATGTAACATCCCGTTAATCTTTGCATATCGTATTTCCTGTTTTATTTTGAAAGACCAACATTTCCTGTAGTTTCAGTTTCTGCCTTCCCGTTATTCTCAATTTACACTTTCACACCTGTGCTCGCTGATTTGAAAGTTCACACTTCACAAGAGCTAGCTGAAATTTCAGTTCATACTGATTAAAATGAAACAGTTAATTAACAATTTAAAATTTTAAACTAAGTTCACAACCCTCTACAAACAAGTTTCCGTTCATAACTGGCCCTTACAAAATGCTGTGAGCTTGACTTGGGTGGAGGAACTTTATGGCTGTTGGCCTGTGGTCTTACCTTCGATTAATGATTTCTTGTGATCATCATTCCGTCGCAGATATTTATCAAGACTGGTCGGCTGCTTCAACTCTGCCTGAATTCCCCAATCTGCCCAACGTCCTTGACATTGGTCAAACCGCAGTATATACTCCTGTTTTCTCTGTTTCTTGCCAGATTGTCTTTGTTCTATGTCATGTGTTCAAGGATTTGTCTGCTTTATCGGGCTGATCTCCTTTGTATGACTCCCTGGTTTACAAGCAAAGGCAGCTACTTTTAAACTTTGCCTCGCCTCTTGTGTCTGTCTCTACAACTGAGTATCTGATTTGCCCAGCAAAGTCACAATCAAATATACTTAAACATATACAAACACACTTACTTCTTTCTTAAAAGGCACGTATAGATATTTGCGATCAACTTGATACAGCTGTATTTTAGGAAACTCTTGGCGGTCATCATTGGCCCTGTAGAGCACTCTGGGACAGGTTGGGTGATAGTCCTTGTCCACAGCAAGCTGACAACAAGAAAGTAGATTCGTTATGTTTCTTGAGGTGCAAGGAAATGCTGAAGTGGAAAGAAGGGACTATCAAAATATGCATACAAATACCCCCATTGATAATCAGATTTTGAAATCACCAGAATAAATAGCTTCAGCCTATTTAATTAAGCCATAAATACTGAATTTATTTCTGCCGATGAGGAGATTATGCTTCTTCTGCAAAGTAAAATTAACACCCCAGTCTAACACTTAGAAATAACACATATGACAGGAAACAGCTATATTTCCTGCAACAATTTAAATCTCCTGGTAACTTTGTAAGTAGTGTGGTATGTCTATGGTTGGGTATCTCTTGAATATTAGGCCACACACAATCACAACCAGCATTAAAGAGACACCAAAAACAACAACTAAAATCTATCTTTTGACTATTAAATATATTTTCTCTGCATTCTTGAGCAGTGGTTCTATAAACACTTTCATTTTCTTTATCAGAGCAGCTGTTGCCAGGTTTGGATTCATCTAAGTTGCCATGGATTCCAACGGTTAAATAAACAATGTATATATTAAATTATTTGACATGTTAAAAGAACTGAATTGAATGTTGGATTCATTCCTACTCAAAATCCTCCTCTAAAATATGTATCTATAAAAAAAAACCCACATAGAAAATGGAGTGAGACAAAGGCAAACCATTAGAATGCTCAGAAGTGCAGCCATGAAGCAAGCATATACAGTTGTGTTCAAAATAATAGCAGTGTGTTTAAAAACGTAAGGGAAGTTCAAAATCCTTATAATAGTTTTTATTTCCATGCGTTGGGAACACTGCACATTATATTCTACATCAAAACATGAGGAAAAAATGTATCAATACTTTAATTACTTTACAGAAAATGAAGTAAAATTAATATTGGGCTGTTCAAAAAATATCAGTGTCTGCATTTTTCATTACAAACTCAAATATTTACTGTATAAACTGAAAAACCACTGTTTCTGAGAACTGCTTCACATCTGTGTTGCATGGAGTCGACCAACGTCTGACACCTGTGAACAGGTATTCCAGCCCAGGATGATTTGACAACATTCCACAATTCCACTGCATTTCTTGGTTTTGCCTCAGAAACAGCATTTTTGTCACCCCACAAGTTTTTTTTTTTTTAAGGTCCGGGTATTGGGCTGGCCACTCCATAACTTTAATTTTGTTGTTCTGGAACCAAGATGCTGCTTGCTTACTGGTGTTTTTGGGGTCGTTGTCTTGTTGAAACACCCATTTAAATGTTGTTGTTGTTGAAAAACACGCGCTAAAGTGCCCTCTTGGGAGCCAAAACGCGTGCTAAAGTGCCCTCTTGGGAGCCAAAACGTGT